TTAAAAGCTAAAATTAAAAACTAAAAATGTTATTATTAATAATATGAATTAGTAACTTTGCCTTTACTTAGTTACATTAAAAGTAAATAAAAAGTTTATTCTCACTTATTTTGTTGATTTTTATACATTTTACTTAACTTTTTATTATATTTTCATACATATACGTTTATATAAAATATTGGTGAGTAGATCCGCGCGATCGTTCTTTTGATTATATACTATATACTTTGGAAATTTGTAGAAGTTTAATAATACTGTTGTTACCTTTGTTAAATGCTTGCTTGAACTTATTTAAGGTATTATGCTTGTTTGAACTTATTTACTCGTTGTTACCTTTGAACCTCTATCAGATACCTGTTATACCTATCAGGTTTGTTATATCGTTTATCAAAAACTTGTGAAAGTTTATTATTTTTATTTTTGGCAATACATATTTGTAATACGACCAACAAATGTAAAAAATAAAGCATTAAAAATTGTTTTACTAAAAAAGAAAATTTAAGTCCGTAGATATTTAAAAAAGCCTTGATTCAAATTTGAACTGTTCAAGGGTTTTTTTCTTTTTTAAGAACAACGTAGGGGGAATTTTTCCGCATATAAGGTTGGCGCTGTTGGACCGAGTATGAATTTAGCTTTAATGTTAGGATGACAAAGTTATTACATGTGGATCTAGTAGGGTATTTATGACTTATTTCGCTAAAATAAGGTTGGAATATTGGTGGAGTTTATATTTTATTTTGTATATAAACTGTAAAACAAGATGCATGTTAATTTTGTATACATTCAACGATTCAAGTTTGCATAAACGAGGTTCACAAATCACTTTTTTTCTTACTTAAGACAATTCTTACTTTAGACAATTTTTCAGGCATGTTTACTGTAGAGTTTTTAAGGCTTATTAAAATTTGTGCTTGCCCAGGCTATGTTATCATAGCTTAGATGACTATGTATTAATAAAAAATATAAACCTTTTAAGGACATGATATTTATGAAAGGTTTTGCTTTAGACATTAATGAAATATTTCTTGAGATCTTTTTCTCTAAAGTGGAGCTCCCACAACAAATTCTATGAAGCTTCCACGACAAATTTTCATCCAAGACCACACCTAGAAAGTTCATGAAAGTTTCTCTTTTTATTTTAGTATTACTTATTTTTAGATTACGTAGTTTAAGAAGAATATTTTCAGGCAGTTTAAGAGGAAATTTTGAATTTAGTCTTTTTGATATTCAAAGTGAGTTTGTTACACATGAATTGCTTGTTTATTTTTTTGTAATTCTTTGTTAACTATGTTAAAAAGTGTTTTAATGTCTTTATGTGAATAAAACAGATTGGAGTCATCCGCAAATAAAATTAAATCTAATAAGTTTGATGTTAAATATAAATCATTTATATAGAGTAAAAATAATAACGGTACCAAGATCGAGCCTTGGGGGGCACCCCACAAACTATGGTGCTTTTTGTTTGATGTTTCATACTGTATGTATTGCTTTTTGTTTAATAAATAACCTTTAAACCAAAGTAAGTTATGATTTTTTACTCCATATACTTAAATATAAATAAATTTTTTTAGAATGTCATAATTTACTGTGTCAAAAGCTTTAAAAAGTGATCCAATATCTACTATTGCAGTTTGCCGTGAATGTTTGGCTAACCAATAGCAATACAAGAATACCAGAAACTAGCCCAGAAACTAGCAGTGTTGGTTCAATTGTGATAAAAAATCTCATTGAAAAGCTACAGCTAGGATATTCAAAGTTTTAACGTTTAAACAGCAATCCATTGTATGTTAGATGGAAAACACTAAGGTTAAAGTAATAAAGCTGTGTTAACAACTACGTTTTGTGATAGCTTAACAGTTATATTAGACTCTGACGGTGGGCAATTAATGAACCAGCATGCATTTGACTTTAAAGTTTTAACATAATATCAAGTTTGATTATACAATCAAATCATGTAACTCGATTTTATGATAAAATTACATATTGTTTTTTTATACTTTTTTTTTGGCACATTTTTATAGCAACATTTTTTCTTGGATTACCCTTTTTGACTTAAGCATTTCAGGGCCGACAACACCGTGGGGCGGGGTACATGCCCACACACACACAAACTTACATGCCCACACACCCCACACACACACGCACACTTTTTTTCTAAAGTACCTTTTTTTTTTTTTTTGAGAAAAGACTTTTTGTAAAATTTGCGATTGTGCCCCCCAATTTAAAACCCGTATCGTCAGCTCTGCATTTACTTGCTTTATTTTTAAATTTTACGGTCTTTTCAAACTATCCATTTTTTCCACTTTCTAATCATCCTCTATGCCTCTTTAGAGGTAAGCAGTGGAGAAATTAAATTTGCCTTTTTTATAGTAGTCCACAAATAATTTAAATACATTTAAACACGCGGAAAAATTCTATAAAATAAGACAATATGATAAAGCAAATACTATCTTACTTAATCACTCGAAAGATTGTTATGAATATTGTTTATGATTGTTATGAATAACTTTATTTACTTGTTAAAATATTTTAATTTTAATTGTGTATAAAAAGTCTTTTGTAGAGTTTTCTACATTATTGTACATTATAAATATAAATATTTTCTACATTATTCTACATTATAAATATAAATATTACATTCTATGTAAAATACATAATTGTTTTATAAATATAAATATTACATTCTATGTAAAATACATTATTGTTTTATAAATATAAATATTACATTCTATGTAAAATACATTATTGTTTTATAAATATAAATATTACATTCTATGTAAAATACATAATTGTATTGATTATTATTATTGACTATGAATATCTAGTTTTTGACTATGAATATCTAGTTTGACTATGAATATCTAGTTTGACAATTGATTCTTACACGTTAAGCCTAGTTCAGTGTTTTTATTTTTATTTGTATTATAAAACAATAAGTAAAACAGTTGCTTTTTTGGGATATTTATGAATATGACACATAACTTAAAATATTTATGAATATGACATAGGTTGCTTGAAAACGTTTTATCTATGGTTTAGCGTTCAACCGGCTAATTTTTAGAGTTTCAAGAAATTAATGATTCAAATCTTAATAATTCATTTAGCTTTTAAATACTTAAAATGCTAACTCATAATGTTTTTTATAATTGCTGAAAATAGATTCAAATTTAATGCGCATTGATGAAATTTGGTCATAGTGAGTGTGTTTTGATCTAATTCGTATACCTTTTGTTATCTTTGTTTTGTCAAAAAAAAAAAAAAAAAAAAAAAAAATCATTTATAAAGATATTAAAACTATTTTCCAAAAGCTAAAAGATGCTAGCATATGGCAATTTAACACTGCTAGAAAAAGAAAACTTTCAACATAAAGGAAATAATTTCATTATTTTTATAAATAAAAATTTCTTTGACAAAGATTTAATTTTTTGACAAACAAAGGTTTCAGATTTTTAAAAACCATTTTATATTTGGATATAACAAAATATAAATTGGCAATATAGGATTATATTTATATAATCCTATAATGCCATTTTATATTTAGTTATACCAAATATAAAATTTTATACCAAATATAAAATTTAGTTATACCAAATATAAAATATTTGTTCAGTTATTTGAAGTAAATTCTAATTCCACGGGGAATAAGAATTTACTTCAAAATAAACGAAAAAAAAAATTTTCACGAGCGGCTAAAATTATACATTTAAGATATTAAAAGATTTATATCAACTGATAAAAATCGATTGATATAAATCTTTTAATATCGATTTTAATATCACTTGTTTTTGTCTAAATCTGACCTGTTTTTATATATGGTTGAGTTTTCACAAAACTGAATAGATATTTGAATAAATAGATTAAATTAATAAAAAAAGGTGGCATTTGGAATAAATGTCTGCGCATTTTAATATTACATTACGCAGACATAAATTCCTTTTGCTAGAAATATTACAAAATATTTACATTTTTTTGAAAAACTTGTTCATTTTCCGTTGCGTTTATTTTTTAAAGATAAAGAACTTCTTAATAATTGTCTGATCTTGCCGCCACCATTGTCAAAAAATAGACCAGTTATTGATTGTGCTGAACTTGATAAATTTTAGTTTTTCAAGAGACACATCGTTTGAGTCTCTAAAGCAACTACTAGCTACTACTCTTTACAGAAGTTATTCATTTAACATAATGGTTAGGTTTTCGCATATCTTAAATAATAATTTAAGATATTCAAAAACAATGTTTTACTAGGAACTGATTTCTTGAATATAAATTGTATTAAAATTATAGGAAAGTTTTGGTTGACCAAGTCAACCAAAACTTTCCTATAATTTTATATTACAATTCACAATTGTAAAAAAGATTATAAATATTTTGGAAATTGTAGAAATGGCTGCTATTGAGTGTTTCTTTAAAATTTCTAATGCGTTTTTTAAACAATATTTAGTCAGAAATGTATAGAAATGTATAAATATAGAAGCATCAAGTTTTATTGAGAAATGCATTGAGTTTTTAACGTCTTTTTTGTCAAAGGGAGCAAAAAATCATTTTAAATGAAAAGAGTTTTAGGTGCAATTAATTGAAGGATATTTCTATGAGTTTATTCAGAAAACTAATGGAAACAGCGGAAACTAATAACAAACGCCAGATCAATAAACCAGAAGTCTACCGTAAAGTGAGAAAGGAATGAGTAAAAAAACTTAAGATCAAAGAGCCTATTTTATTAATGCTTTTAATACCCACTTCTACTTGATTTAGGGCCCTATATTTTATATTAAAAATTAATTGGATTTTAAACACGCGCAAGCGCAAACTTGCGTGAAGCTTAGTTTCTTTTCTAAAAATAAACATAAACAATCAGAAGTGATTTTATGAAAACACAATTATTTATTACTAACATTAAAAAAAAATTGTAATAACTTTTTAAAAAAAATTCTTACTTAATTATAATTCATTACTTTTTAACCGATTTTTTCAAGAAAAAAATTGTTGTCACGAAACTTTGTTTCAAATAATCTTGTAATCACGAACTTATTTACTATTAATCAACTATTAACAATTACAATTTCTAAATATGTTCAGCAATTAAAAAATTCCGTTGTAATCAAATTTTGTATCAGAGAATTTTTTTTTCAGAGGTTGCGATTATACTCAATTCAGTTAGGTTGAGATGATGGCGTGGGTAGCCCAAAGTAAGTTTTTTTGAATTTTTTTCTGAAGCATTTTACGTACATTATATACAGTGTCAGTGTAAATGTATATTATTTTATATAAATATATTATTTCTTAGCATACGACGTTTTTGTAAACCTTTACAAAATTAAACGCCAATAAAATATAACCTACCTAATAATAGTATTCTAGAAAAACCTATGTGCAAGAATAAACAAACTTAATTTATAATAATTTACCTTGTATTATATGCAGCGGGTGAATGATAAATATAAATATAATATATCTGTTTTCATATTGTTTTCTGTTTTTATTCTTTTTCACTAGTTTGACACGCTAACAAAATACTTTTTTCAAATAGTTTTTAGTCAAAACATATTTTTCAGTTTAGGTACAAATAAAATAAAATAAAAAACGTTTTTGATTCTTCAAAACTTGTATTAGGGCGTAATTATCAACTAAATAATCTTTAGAAATTATAAACTCGAAGTCAAAAACAAATCAAATGTCAAAAAATATTATGCAGCGCTTAAAAATGCAAAAATTGTAACGTTGATTGATAAAAAGAACCGTATCGCAAAATTTTCAATCTTTCTTTAAATTGTATTAAAATATTTAAAATTGCGAGTACTAAAATAAAAATATAAACGACGTTTTAAGCTTACGGATCTGTGAAAACACGATCTTGGAGAATTTATAAATATTATGTAAAAAAAAATTTCGTGAGGTAATCATATTATTTAAAGTGTTTTAAGAACGCGTAATTTGTAAGAAATGCGGAGAACTGCGTAAGTAACAATTATCTTTTCAACATTTTCGGTAACTTTAGGAGATCTCTGAAAAGCCTAATAACTATAAAATAACTTAAAAGGTTTTCGACAACTATATTTAATTAAAAAAAAAATTGTTTTTGGATAAATAAAGATGAAAGAGACTCGATAAAGAGCATTAAAAAAATAATGTGTGAAATAAAAATATTCATAATCTCAAAGCTTTTAAGAATTAAATTCGGTATTTCTTTCCGACAGTAAAACAGCTTAATTATTTATCCGAACCATGGAAACCACAGACTTTTTTTATTGCTGTGTCCGAATTATGCTTACAGTTATTTACTTTATATTAGGTTTATATAATTATCTATATCTAACTTGTAATAAAAATTTGTGTTTCTCATGATATGATAACAAGACTCTTTTTTTGTACTAAAAATTAAACGCAAAATTCAAACAAATTGGAAAAACTAAGTTATAATCAGTCAATATTGGACAGTCATACTTATTCCGTTATGAGATTAGTTTAATACTTAAAGTAGTATGAAGTTTTTAGAAATAATTAGATTAACATGGAAGTAAACAAAATTCAACTACTAAATGCAATTAATTAACACTGAATAACAAAATTAAATGTAAGTATTTTTTTTTCCCAACATTTTGATATGCTGCAATTTGTTTCATTTATGGTAGGAATCACTTGTTGGACAACGATTTTTCTTATTATTGGATTAAAAGAAGTCTTAAGTGTGCATGGCAATGTTATGGAAAATAGAGACGATAATATACCTACTAGAAAATGTCTCAGAGACTGCGAATCCGACTATGAACAATGTTTATCTATCATTGAAAGCGTTCTCTCTGACTCATTTGGTATAAATGAAAAACATATATGTTTATATGCTTCGATGCAATGTAAATTTAAATGCGGTATTCGAAAGATGTTAAAACACTATTAAATAACAAACTTCTATTTCACAATTAAAACATTTTTGGACACATAAAAATGGCATGAAACACCATTTTACAGAGAACTTAATTATTTCTAATTTTTAAATATTGTAAAATAAATTATTTTAAATTAATTTAATTAATAATAATACCTTTCAATATAAAATAGCAAAAATGTAAATGAGTAACTTTTATATATTACGTTATACATATTTAATTTACCCTATTTGTACGGTTAAATGCGCTTAGTGTTATATGTCGCTGCTCAAAATATTAAGTAACAGTCTTAAATATTAAGTAGCAGTCTGAAATAGACTTAACTCTTTAACAGTAAATGATGGTTATATACCCGTCAAAAATAAAGTGACGGACATAGTCTTAGTTGAGTATGCTTTTTTACTTTTTTAAGTCTTTTAACTTAAGTAAAACTAAATAAATTTTCTGTTAAAAGTTTTCCCTACCTGAACAAAAAAGTATTATAAACAGCATTTAAAATAAATATTTGATTAGGAAAGAGTCACAGCGTAAAAAGTTCAACTCTTTAAGGTGTGAGTGAAATATTTAGCTTAACGATATATGACTACTGATATGACTGGGTACAAGTAACAAAAGACAACATTTAATTTTAATAGAAAGAGATAACAGACATGCCATTGTATGAAAACAATGTGTTATAATAAAAAGAACAATTTAAAAAAAAGAAATCAGCATAAAATTGTCAAAAGCATGTTCGAGGTCAGATCCTTTTTTAAAACATATAGCATAGTGTAATATTATATAACTTAATTATCTTATTTAGTAAAACCACATATAGCTTAGTGTAATACTATATAACTTTTTAAAACCACATATAGCATAGCGTAATATTATATAACTTAATATATCTCATTTTGTAAAACACAGTTATAATTCGATTATCTCAACACGTTCTAATTTTATAAAATATTAAAACACAAATAAAATTTATAAAAAAATAAACTTTTATGATTATCAAGTAACAACATTTACAAAAGTATTAAGGGAATTTGTCCAAAGTTCAAGCATTTAGGACGTTTATCTATGTTTCTAATTAAGTTTTTTTAATAAAGTTGAATAAAACTAATTTAATAAAACAAAAAATTCTTAATTTGTTATTGGTTTTAAATTTTGAAGTTGACCATTTTTGCAACGCGATTATTGAACCAGTGGTTTCGGTAGTAATGGTCTTCAACTTCTTGTATTTTCTTTTCTATGATTATGATATGATTGACACTATTAATAGTTTTTACATTATTATTTACCTGTTAATTCTATTAACAGGTATCGAAAAAAAAAAATTAATTTGGCATTAACTTTAATTAAAACTAGTCCATAAAAAAGGCAACAATAAAATGACACAGTTTTATGAAAACTGTGTCATTTTATTGTTGATAGGAAACAGCAGTTAACCCAGGACAAATAACTTGTTTAACACAACTTGTTTCTCCGCGCAGCGGTCTTGTTTGTCAAGATTCGTGTTTTTGAGTTGAAGAGTGGAGAGAGGGTACATTATTTGACCTAAAAGTCGACTGTAGGTCAGTTAGGCTTTGTTAAGGTAAATTAAATAAATAAAAAAAGCATACACGATTACAATAATTATTAATTATATAATTAATTTTTTCCAATATAAGTTAAAACGATTATACTTTATGTTGACATTAAATAATAATATAAACTTATTAAAAGATTTTCTAAAACATGAAAAAATATAGTTCAATTTGAGAAATTATTTTTAAATAAATCTTCCTTACAAATATTAGTGTAATATTGATTTAAAAAATATTTTAAAAAATCAGGGAATACAAATTTCAGGAACAAAACGAAAGAAAAAAAACAATAAAAAAACAAATGAGCTGTTCAAGTTTCTTCTTAGATGAAAAAAAGTTTAACAATTTGAGTTTAAAAAACAAGTAATTATGAAAATTAAAAAAAAAAAAAAATATTGATCTTGCACCCTTAAAATTCAGCAAAAAAAATATCAAAAACAAACAAAAAAAACTACATCATCTATTATACTAAAAGAACTCGTTACTATGTATCAAAATATCCGTTACCATACACTAAATTGTAAAAACCATAACACAACAATTCCTGAAATTAAGTCAAAGAACAAGCGGGACCACGAACAATAAAAGGATTTGCTGAAGCAGGAACTTTCATAATTAAAGGATCTACTTTAGATTCTTTTTCACAAAAAGCTACGATGCTAAAAAGAAATTATTCAATAATAAAATAACAAATGTGGTTAGCGCCATCAATAAAAACGTACAAAATGGCCATTAACAACAACCTTTTTGTTTATTAAATAAAATAGAATATTAAAGCAATCAGAACAAAACAAAACAAAAAATTATTTTCTCGTTTTTTATATACTTTGAAACTCTTCTGATGCAGACATTTGTTGAATATAAAAATACAAGATACGAGGAAAAATGCATTGCTAGACACATGTTAAATTTTAAGCTTTAACAGACATTAGAAAGGAGTTTGTCATATTGTTAATTCATTTTTAAAGGAGTTTGTCATTTTATTAATTTATTTTCTGTTTGTTAAAATTACAATAAAAAAATTACAGTATTACAAAAGCTGGCGGAAGCAAGGAGAAGACAAGTTCTTGAGGACAACTTCCTTGCTCCCGCCAGATATTTTGATACATCATGAAGCCCCGTTAAGCATGTGGTTTTTTCAACGTTTAAAAAAATTTAATACATAATATATAAAGAGTAGTAAATACAAAATTAAAACTTTATCAGATGTAAGAGCAGAGAAAACAGTTGCTTGACAAATAATAGATGGTAAGCAACATAACAAGTAAAACATCATGGAAAGGTTTGGTTTCCGTTAAGAATTCCATGATTCGTTTTGGGTTACTCAAAACTGTTTCAAGTTGAAAATAAAAGCAAATTTAAAATAGAATTTGAAAGAGGGAAAAATGAAAACAATTGTTTTCATATTAAGGATAATAATTTTAAAGATTATTTAAAAAAAGAATAATCAAAAAAGTAAATTAAAAAAATTCTTTCGTTTCAAAAACATTAGAAATTTTCGTAAAAATTGCTGATGTTTTACTTATTTCCTGAAAAAAACATTTTTAGTATTTGGTTAAGGGAATTTTCAAAACAATTACAACTACTAGTGATGTGATGATTTAACTGTAATGAGAAGTTGCCTCATTTTACTCTGTAAACTTTCAATACTTTATACTCTAAATTCAATACTATCTTAATTTACTACATTTTTAGTTTTAAATTATTTTTTTGTAATAAAGCAAGTGAACAGAAAATTCTGTTTATAATAGTAAAGATTTCAATGTTTACTTTGTGTTTATGTACTTTTTATTATAGAAAAAATTTTAATACTGGTTTGGCTTGGAATTTTACCCAGATTATAGAAGACAACTTTAACAGTATTGTTTAATGCCTAAATATTTTTATAGCACTGTATTTTAAAGACAGTTCATTACAGAATAACCATAAATACTATTATAAATACTATTGTTATTCTGTTAATTATCGAGAAAACATGGTTCAGATTAGGCTGAGACAATTACAAAGAAAAATATTTTCTTATAACTACCAGTAATGGAGTGAAGTGGCGCAACTTCACTTGCAATAAGGTATTCATTATTAATTTTTTTTCTTTTTATCTTTTTATTAACTTTTTTTAATGAATCAAAAAATCTATTTAACAGAAATCCAGATTTTTAACATTTTAACATCTAAAATTCTTTTAGTGCGATTAAATAAAACAGACAATTAAACAAACATTTCCTTATAATTTAATTTGTTCCTTTTTGTGAGTAATATATTCAATATTTTTTTTTAGATGAAACTACAATTATATGACAAATTGATTTAAGCCTGATGATCACAATCAAAGCTGCTGTGATGATTTTCGAACCTAGCAGTCGGCTGTGATGGTTTTCTGACCTAGCAGTTAACTGTGATGGTTTTTGAACCTAGCATATGAGCATAATGAGCATATGCAAAAGAGTATAAAATATTGAAATCAAGTTTACAGAGTAAAATGAAGCAACTTCTTATTACAGCTTTTGGCAAAAAATAATGAAATAAGTATAATTTTAATAAGGAAGATAAATTTTTCATAAATCTTTGTCAAGCATTTGCTATGCATTATCAACTTGATGCAAAACAAACAAAGCAACATATCAATATGCAGTTAAAATTGACATTAAATTACCAGAATACTTAAAAAAAAAAACTACTCATATACCAGTATTAGATAAAACCTTATACAAAAACAGTGTGCAGAAAGCAATTAGCTTACTTGTGATTGCACTTTGCTGATTATGTTTCTTCCTCTATACTTAATAACATCCTCTTACAAATTTTAAAAGCTATATAAAGCATATGCAACTTTTTAAATGAGACTTAAATCAGTAACAAGTGTTAACACTTGTTACTGATTTAATTATTTAGATATACTAATATAACACTATATAAGATATATTACTGGACTTAATTGGTAATAATCCTAAATATATAAACTGTTCTGTAAATATATTATTATATACTACTATGTAAAACAAATCTTTGTTGCAGCAGTTTCATTTTTAAATATTTAAAATAAATATTTAGATAACACATTATTTCTCTAAATTAAACAACTTTTAAAAAAAAGTAGTTTAATTAGTTATTGTTCTAATTTACATTTTAGGGTTTTAAATCAAAGCTATCTACCTTTGAGGTTAATTGCCTTTTAACTTCTAAGTAAATTGTCTAAATTGACTAAATGGCACAATGGCAAAAGTGTCACACCTGTTCATAACTTTATCATTACCATAATTTTAACATATTTAAACATGCTTTATAATCTTTTTTTTAAAGTTAAGCACTGTTTAAAAAATCTATGAAAATGTCCTTAATCAGTAGTAATGTGGTAGAGCACTCACTTTGTAAACAGGAAATTCCATGTTCAATCCTTACTATGTCCCTTGTAGTGCTACAGAGCTTTAGTTTCACCTTGTAGTATTGCACTCGATTTCTAACCATCTATTTTTTTTTTTTTTTGAAAGTTTTTATGTTAAATTTTTTTTTATTAATATCTAAAAAGATATTTAAGAGACGTTTTTAAAATGTGCTGAACCCCCCCCCCCCCTTAAAAAAAAAAAAAAATTATAAACAAGCTAAACTATATATAAGGAAAGAAATTTAAGGAAAAAAAAACTATAGATCTAAAAAAAAAGCCAATTGATATAAAACTGAAAAACTAACTCTAATAGAAAATTATTATTTTTAATTATGTTTGTAATAACAATATATTAATAAACAAGATTTAAACTTTAAAACACCATTAAACTTTAAATAAACAAGATTTAAACTTTAAAACACCATCGAGGAAATAAAGGAAAAATTATTAGCTTTAAACTAATAATAGACGTCTTGACAGTTCCAATAATTTCATGCGCGCACATATTCAATATTACGTCATGGTACTTTATGCGCAGAATAGCATGAAAACAAGTAAATACTCATAAATTAAGATAGTAACCTTGAAAGAAACAGTTGTTTACATGAGATTTTTTTTAAAAAAAGACATTGATTTAGTTTAATATAAGTTTATTTTACCCATTTTAAGTTTAAAATTTATACTTTTTATATGTTTTTGTTACATAATATTTGTAATCAAGGAAAAAATTTGTACGTTAAGTGTATAAGTGTTTAATATTGATTAATAAAAATGAGCTTTCGGGAAAGAAGATTGTTAAATAGTAATATATATATATATATATATATATATATATATATATATATATATATATATATATATATATATATATATATATATACACTCACACACATATATATGTACATACACACACATATATATGTATATATATATTATATTTATATATATATTATATATATAAATTTAGCCTTAAAATAGTTAAAATAAAGTTAAATAATTCAAAATCGATACTTTTATTATGAATAAAAGTAAAGAAATCTTATGTAAACTGTTTCTTTCAAGAAAGCTTTCATTATATATTTGTGTATTTACTTTCTTTCATGCGATTCTGCGCACAAGGAACAATGACATACTGTTAAATGTTGGCGCGCACTAAATTATCGGAACTGTGAGGAGGTCTATTGAAACGCTTTTAAATTAAATTAAGTTTTAACTATAAATTGAGATGATTCTAAATTAAAAAATATATTATTTATATGCTTTTATCTTCTCTAGTTTACCTTTCATTTATTTTATCATTCGTTAAATTTATTTCTCATTTCAGTTTATGGTTTGATTATTTTTAACTTTTTATTCAACTTAGTTGGGTTTTTTAAGCATAATTTATAAAAACAAGCTAATTATCAATATATACAAAAAAACTATAGCCAAGTGTTAAAAAAAAGAGTCAGGGCAACAGGCTTTCACAGAAAAGCGTGTGATCGCACGTCTTTATATGACCACGCAAAAACTAATATGTTTTAACAATTTGACCATGGCTTTTGACATATTTTCAAAATTTAAAAATGCGCTACAAAAACTTACCTAAACTTATCTAAAAAAAAAATTGTAAAAAGAAAAAAAATTTTAACGAAAGAGAAAATTAAAAAAAAAAATATATATATATATATATATATATATATATATATATATATATATATATATATATATATATATATACAACCCAACTAAAACAAAACTCATCAAACTAAAATGCTTAGTCTATTTAATTTACGCATTAAAAAACCATTTCAATCTTTATTTTAACATTTGTACTTTTTTTTTAAAAATATGTTCAAAAGATAAACATTTTTCATAAACAATACATAATTATATAAATAAAAAAACACAACAGTTTATTTATACTTATTTTAAAAATTAATTAGAAGTTTTACTTAATTGAAAAGCATTTCGATAATGTAAAAGCTTTGATAATAGAAAAAATCAAACTTAGTTAATCGTAACAGCTTTCTAAAACTTTTCTTTTTCAACAAAATTTTGTTTATCTTTTTAAATGTATTAACTTTAATTATTCTTATATTAAAACTTGTTAAAGAGACTTTTGTAGTCATATAATGTCATCGTTTATAAGAACAAAACAATTTTTATTTTTTAATAAGGTTTATTATAGAAATGCAAACGTAAAGAATTTATATATTATAAATTAAAAAAATATATACAGCTGTCAACTATATTTAAAAAATAAAACATTATTAGTAAATTGTTACTTTATTTAAAAGCATTTCTCTAATAAAAAAAAAAACATTTGTTAAGAAGTTTTGATGTAATTAGTTTCACTTTTTACGAATATTTTTCATTTAGCGCGTTTTTTGAATTAGCCGTGGTCAAATCATCATAGCAAAATGTAATTTGCCTGGTCATATAAAGACGTGCGATCGCACACCTTCCTGTGAAAGCCTGGGGTAACAACATTAGTTTTTGTCAAGTGTAATAACATCTGTGCAAAAATTAAATGAATATTACAGATATAGTTACATTTTTTAAATTATCAAAGTGTAATATTGTCTCTGCAACTATATCTGTGGATTCTACAGATGTAGTTACATCTTTTAAATTATCAAAGTGTAATAACATCTGTGCATCTCTACATCTGTAGAATTTAAGATCAAGTTATTTTTAAGATGAATTAACTAATAATGCATTATATTAACCAGATGTTATTACATATAGAAATTTTTTGAGATGTAACTACATCTGGAAAAAAAATTAACTAATAATACATTATTTTAACCAGATGTAGTTAAATATAGAAATTTTTCAGATGTAACTACATCTGGATAAAATTCTTCCAGATGTTATTGGACTTTGAAAAAAAATGTTAAAAATATCAAACCAAAAACCGAATGATCACAAACTGATAGATACAATAAAAAATTTCAATATTAATTTGTAGAAATACTTGATTGTATTTTTTTTAACAAATAATTAAAAAGCTTGATTTTAAATTCAGAGATTGAATTAAAATATTTTAGATCATGAGGTAGTTTGTTTCAAATAGATATTTAATGGATTTGTTTCCATATTTCCATATTTATCCGATTTGATACAAATGTATCAAAATTTGGAATGACCTTTGTACTAATTACCTGTTAAGTTTCAAAAAATTTGGTTCACACATATCAGCACAGTATTGTTTGGTTTAATGCATGTGTTGGCCTAATATAAAAGTTAGGTAACAGTTTTTGGCTTACTTTTATTACAATTTATGCACATACCTACACACATATAACAATTAAAGATTTTTAGGCACTTAAAAACTATCATTATATCATCAAAATTCTAGGTATTGATGCGCAAAGAAAAAAACAAGATGAATAAGTTTTTTAAAACCTTTGATCATTTTTTATTATTCATCAACATAAACAAGTACTATTTATCTATTTTATTGTTGTTAGATAAAAAGGTAAAGAGGGGTGTGAAAAACATTCCTTTTTTTATTTTAAAATGGTTTTTTGTCTGCTTTGTGTTTTAGTAGTATTCCTATCTGCCACCAAGATTGTGTCAAAGATATATAGTAGGCAAATACACACATGCTAAAAAGATAATTAAAACAGAACTTTAGAAACTTACTCTTTGGCACACTCAGAGAGTTTGAGTCGCTGAATTCGGGCTTCCCTTCGAAGTTGCTCGTTTTCTAATTTAATACTTTCAAATTGAGCATTCATTCCAGCATTTGCAACAGCAACAGGCGGCATTATAAACAAGCACAATAAATTTATCGTAACAATCCTATTGTAATAAAAATTAACAATATTAAATAGCTTTTAGTAGTAACCAATATTACTAATACTATTTGTAATAGTATTACTAATAGCATTAGTGAAGGAAAATATACTTTAAACATAACTTGTAAAAAAAATGATGCCTTAATTTAACAGAATTTATTGTAATTTTAGTTTATTTCTTTTTGATAAACGCGATACAGCGTAGTCATTATATTTATCTAAATCCATACGGCCGCAGTGCAATATTGCCATTACTTGGGTATAGCAGGGTGAGGGTCACTCCTTGTGACCATTCAACCCCATGATGCTCCACCGGTGAATTTTCAAGCTTTAAAATGAATGTATATATATATATATATATATATATATATATATATATATATATATATATATATATATATATATATATATATATATATATATATATATATATATATATATATATATATATATATATATTTTGTTCTTTATTACATTTTAAACAACATTCCGTTATAAATATACAATTTAAAAAATAAAATATAGAAGTTACAAGAAAATAACAAAAAAGAAAAATCGTAAATAAGAAATAAAAGAACGCGGGGACTCGTAGAAGACCGTAAGGTCTTGTCGTCGAGAACCGCTAAAATGAACGTGATACAAACAAATTAAAAATATTCAGAAAACCCGTTATAAATATAAAGATCAGTTATATAAATACTATATAAGTTAATAAACATATAAATTGTCGTATATATTGATACATATTCTTGGTAAATATATAAATTATAAAATAATAATAGTTCTTTGATAAGTGGAGGTAAAATGGGAAAACTATTAAAAATTATTAAAAGTAAATTGATAGATCGTCAATTGTAAAAATTAATTCTTTTAACTTTCGTTTAAAAGAGTTGTAGTTACATTGTTGGATAAAATCACGAGAAAAGTTTTTTAAGACAATTTTGTTCCATAAGAATGGTCCGCGAGAAGTAATGCAGAATTTGCTCAAGTTAGTTTGAAAAAATGGCTGCTTAATAAAATTGTTATTGCGTAAAAAGTATTTATTTTTATCTTTTAACATATACAAATCATGGAAAGAAACTGGTGAAGAATTAGTTTTACATTTGAACATAAAACAAAGAGTATTATAAACATTGAGTCGATATACATTTAAGGCGTTCATTTTTTTTAATAGAGGCTTTGAATGAGTAAGACGTTCACTAAAATGTATCAAACGTGCTACATGCTTCTGATGACGATAAAGAGGTTCAAGTTTGCTTTTATTGGTGCAAGCCCATGCAATGTTTGCATAATTTATATGGCTATGAATAAAAGAGAAATATAATTGAGTTAAAATTTTTTTATTTAAAAAGTTTCTTGCTTTATATAAAATTCCTAAACTTTTTGAAGTTTTGTTATATAAATTTTCAATATAATTTTTCCACGAAAGATTATCATCAATATAAACACCTAAGAATTTTGTAACGTTTACTCTAATTATTTCAATGTTATCAATAAAAAGGGATGGCATTTCATCAGGCAGTAGTTTTTTCTTAGAGGGCGGGTGAAAGAGAGTCCAGTTTGTTTTTTGAATATTAAGCGATAATTTATTTAATTTAAACCAGTAAGAAATCTTGTTTAATTTTACATTCATAAGTTGAAACAGAGTAGTGATGTTAGTATGAGATAAGAATAAGTTTGTATCGTCTGCAAACATGATTGTTTTTAATCTGGATACTTTATAGAGATCGTTGATATATATAAGAAAAAGAAGTGGTCCGAGAATAGATCCTTGAGGAACACCACAAGTAATTTCTAACAAACTTATTGGAGAAGAAGCGTCAATGGTTACAAATTGTTTGCGATTACTTAAATAACTTTTTATCCACTTTAAAACATTTCCAGTTATTCCGTAATTTTTGAGTTTTTTAAAAAGAATTTTATGATCTATTGTATTAAAGGCTTTCGATAGGTCGATGAAGATGCCTAAAGTATATTCGGATTTCTCGAAAGATTCTGTGATACTACGTGTTAGCTGGAGAATCGTGTGCTCTGTAGAGTTGTTTTTTTTTGAATCCATACTGGTGGTTAAATAATAAATTGTTGTTAGTTAAATGAGTGTAAATTTTGTTATAAATAATTCTTTCTAAGACTTTAGAAAAGACTGGAAGAACAGAGATAGGGCGATAGTTATTGATATTTGTTAAGTCTCCTCCTTTGAATATCGGTGTGATTTTTGCAATTTTAAATTGATCAGGAAAAATTCCTTGTCTGATTGAAAGTGAAAAAATTTTAAAAAGCACGTCTTTTAAAGCCTTGTATGAATTTTTTATTACATTGCTATTTATATCATCGAAGCCACTTGCTTTATTTGGTTTTAGTGCAATAAAAGCTGTTTCAAATTCTTCAAACGATAATTCCAAAAAATCAAGATTAGCTAATGCAATAGATGAGATATCACTTGTTTTCTTTATATTTGGTATATTTATATATATATTATATATATATATATATATATATATATATATATATATATATATATATATATATATATATATATATATATATATATATATATATATATATATATATATATTATATATAACTTGATAAAGATTGGTTTACCTAAAAAATAACTGAAAATTTTTTTTTTATTATTATTTATTATTAATTCCACAACTAATCTTTATAATTTGCATCATTTTTTTTTTATAATAATAATTTTTTTTTTTTTAATTGAATTTAGCTGCCCCGAGAAGTTCTTACGGTCTTATCACAGAGCACGCGGATGAGCATTTAATTGGAAGTTCACACCTCCTTCCTAACTGATGTCGCATAGCTTTCCCAGAGGTGGGGTTTGAACCACGGATCATTTGCTTTCGAGGAAAATGCGCTACCACTGCGCCACGGCTGTTCGTGTTGCGCTACCACTGTGCCACGGCTGCATCATGATTGACAATTAACAATTATCAACGCCCTTAGTGTATGTCAAGGGTATATATAGTATATAGTACACAGTATATAGGAACATGCACAAAGCTCTTGTAACGGATCCCCAGAATTTTTCTTTTTTTATTTAATCATTAGAAAACTCTTTCTCGTTCTAAAAATGTATAACGTAACTTTTTTTCACCGGGAGCCTGAAGAGAAATTACGCATTTTAGGCGAGTGCTTAAAAATTTTGTTATTTAAAGATAACTAACTAAAAAGTGTGTAGCATAATCAAAATTTTAGTATGTTGATATTGGCCTCAAAGGAGGGTAGCTTGAAAAAGGTTCATCTAATTGGACCTGACCCAACCCCAATCTGAATCTTTATTGTCCCCTTCCTTGATCTACGTTTTGTAAGATCGTAATTTTTTTAAAGTTCTATCCATAACTTAGATCAAATTTCATCAAATATTCACCTTTTTCAAAAATTTTCAACTTCATTCAAAATTTATGACCATATGAAGTAGCTACCGAGGAGCAGTTGGAGCAAATGCTACAAGCGCACAAACTATTAGGGCGCAATATTTTTTTTTTGTACTTTTTTTTTACCTTGGATTACCTTGGATTACCGTGGATTACCTTTTTTTTTACCTTGGATTACCTTGGAAAAATCTGCTAGCGATTTATATAACGTTTAAATACCGTGCGAGACAACCAGCGGGATAAGAACTCTCTACGCAAGAGAATATAGTTTTTTATGATATACCGTGTAAAATCTAAACTTAAAGTTAACTAAACACACTTCACTTTTTAAAAATGCTATTCAATGATATTTTTTAAAAAAACCTTCAAAAGCATTGCAAATAAAAGACAAAAAGTTCTAATTTATGTAAGTCATATTAATAGTTAGTTTATGGTTATTTTTTTATGTTGTGTTTTTTGAAGTAACTGTTGTCAAATGTCTAAATCAGAATTGAATCAGTATTGTCTACACCTTTTCAAGATGTAATTGAGAAAACAAAAATTGTAATTAAGAATTGTAAGATGTAATTGAGAAAACAAAAGTTGTAATTAAGAAACGTAAGATGTAATTGAGAAAACGTAAGTTGTAATTAAGAAACTTAAGATGTAATTTAGAAAACGAAAATTGTAATTAAGAATCGTAACATGTAATTGAGAAAATGTAAGTTGTAATTAAGAAATAGAAAGATGTAATTGAAAACACGAAAATTTTAATTTAGATATCGCTTTAAAGGAGTAAGTGTAAAATGGCGCTTAAAAAAAATGGCGCGTAAAAAAATGGAGCGTATAAAATGACGCACTAAAAAATGACGCAAGATTTGTAGCGTAAATTTAATTTTTTAGGGAAAAATTTAGGGGAAAAATTTATAATTTTTGGGCAAATGAATTTAACATAATAAACACTAAAAACATTTTAGGGAAAAATTTATAATTCAATTAAAAATTATAATTAAAAATTATATAATTAAAAATCACTTCATTGATCATTTAAGCACCAACTTGAACGTCTTTCATATTTAAAATAGTTGCATAGTGCGTGGTTGTGTGTTGTACCGCACGTGCACAATCTCCTCCCATTATAGTATTTTTCGCCTCAATTACAATTCGTTCTAAGTACTGCATGCGCTGTTCCGCAATCCCGTCACCTAATACAGGTGGAATGCGAATTGCATTTTTAACGTTACTTTTAATTTTGGACCAGATCGTTTCCACCGGGTTCAACATTGGACTGTAAGGTCCCAAACGTAACAACTGAGCTGGTGAATTATAAAACACCCTTTGCAAACGAGCGTGACAAGGAGCATTATCTGTTACGACGACCAAATCCTCCAAACGATTCCCGGATGTAACTCACTGGTGAAACATAGCCAACATCCACTCGTTACATGAATCTGCTTTAAATGATCCTCTGCGAGTTTCTATCATGACGACATTTGTAGTTGAAATAGCTGCGATCAAGTGTATGTTTAAACCTTTTGAAGCAGGTACTTTCATAATTGCTCTTTTTCCTTGTCTCGCGCGTCCTTGCGTTTTTCTACAAAAAAGGTTAAAATTTGTTTCATCCAACCAAACTATCTGACGACCATTTGTGATATGTTCGTTGATGTTTCTAACATATTCAGCTCTTTTTTGTTTGTTTTCATAACTGTTCATTGTAGAAGGCTCCTTGTGCACTTTTTTTAATGAGAACAATCTGCCTTCGAGGTAATTTGCTATTGTTGTTGTGCTAAGTTTATGTTAAATTGTCTTAATATCTTTGTTTTGATGGCCACCAATGTTAATTGACAATCATTTTCAATCCATGTTAAT